CTGGCTCCCAAGTCAAGAAGTGCCTTATCAATATGAGTGTTACCTATGACGCATGGAATTGTGAGACAACCAGGGTCCTTATATTTTAACGGCATGGGTTTCGAAAAAATTTCACTGAGGTTGGCAGCTAAGAAGACTTTCTTGGGGACATTGGTGGTTCTTTTCTTAGTGCATAAGTCTTTCAAGAACTTTGCATAAGAGGGGATTTGTTCGATTGCATCTAGGAGAGGGATGTTGATCTTGACCTATTTAAACGTTTCGAGGGTTTTCTCAACCTGCGGGGAGTTTTTCCTAGGTTTGAGACTATCTGGAAAGGGGGCAACGAGCCTATACCTATCTAGATCGGGCTCAATCTCATGTCCAGTGTTTTGGTCATCGAAAGGAATGTGTTGGATGAGAGAAGGGGTTTGATCCGGTGGCGTTCTAACTTGATTGTCTATTTGTTTTACTGATCGTAGTGTGTGAACTGCATTCACATAGGCTGGTTGGGTTGAAGTAGATCCATTATCTTTAGGGTTTTTAACAGGTTGACTCGGGAATTTTTCTTTCTCTCTCTCGCTCACGGTAGTGGCTAGTTGCCCAAGTTGGGTTTCTAACCGGGCTATGGCTTGAGTGTTCGAATTGAGCACATGGCCGATTGTTTACATGAAGGAATTTAGAGTGGTGGATGATTGGGTCAACGTGTTGGTAGTTTGTATAGAAGCTTTGATCATAGCTTCTAAACCCTTTTCTAAGACACTCAGACGTTTGTCATGATCAGAATTTGAAGGATTTGTAGGCTGGTGAGGATAAGGATGTTGGGTTGGAAAAGTCGGGTTAGCTTGTTAAAAATTGTTTGATGTGTTGAACGGAAGTGTATTTCCCCTAGGGAATTGTAGGTTCGACGTGGGAATGAAGTTTTGATTTTCGGGAGATTTTCCTTGATTCCATGCAAAGTTAGGATGATTTCTCTAACCTAGATTATAGGTTGAAGAAAATGGATCATTTCTAAAATACTGGAATGCAGCGTTCATCTGTTCTAATGCATGGTTGTTTCCTAAAAGAGGGCATTCCTCTGAAACGTGGGTAGGAGACTGACAGTTATGACATCCCAGGGTAGAAACATTATTGATTTGAGCCGGAGCGCATTCCTTAATTTCTAAGGCTTCTAACCTCCGTAGAATCGTCGCCATCTTCGCTTCAGAAGCAATGTTTGACTCTAAGGAAAGACCACTAGATTTAAATTAGGGAACTGATGAAACCTTGTCATCACAGTGTTCCCACTACATGGTTTTCTCGGATAAACTCTCTAGAAATTTCCAAGCTCCGTCAGCATTTTTCCTCATAAAATCTCCCTGACACATTGATTCTAAAGATGTTTTTGAAGAATAGTCCAATCCTTCATATATGACTTGGCATAACCGCCATTTCTTGAGACCATGATGAGGACATTGGATAAGAAGATCTTTGAATCGGTCAAAATATTTCCAGAATGGCTCCCCTAGGACAATTTTAAAGTTTTGAATACCGTTCCTAAGCTTTACCATTTTATGAATTGGAAAAAATTTCTTGAGAAAAACAATGACAAATTCATCCCAAGTTGACAAAATTTGAGCTTGATTGCATCTTCGGTTAATTCTCTCATTTTGATCATAATACATACTTCCTCAAATTCCAAGATAAAAATATAAGCATCCTCAGTTTCATTTCCGAGGAATTTGGGAAGCATGTTTATGTAGTACGGTCGAAGCTCAAAATTTGTTCCATTTTCTTCGGGGAGCCTAATGCAAGAAGGGATTGCATTTCTAGTGGGATGACACATATCTTGGAGAACGGGTTGATTTGCCATTTCTTGATTGGTTCAACACGGATTAAACGATGAGAAGTATCCCGAACCCACGTTCGCATACACCAAAACAACTTCTTTTTATATATTTTTTAAGAAAAGAAAGAAAATTAGTTTTTTTATGAGAAGAAAAGGATGAAGGAAAATCCTAACTAAAATAAATCAAAGCAATCACTTTTCAATCACTCTAATTCTAGGGTTTAGCCTAACTCAACTAGACCAGCTCCTAACCAAAAACTCCTAAAGTGAAAAGATTAAAGTTTTTACCCGGGTAGTTAGCTAGGTAAGGATAGTACTAGAGGGTGATCAGAGATTAATTAAGTACCTCGTTCCTTACGGAGCGCTTTACGCAACCCTAAACCTTGCCTTAGACTTCAACTAATCCAAAAAAACTTGAACCGGTTCACGTGGGGATTTCTTGTTCCTTATTGAGCTCGAGTCCTTAGGGGCTAACGTCTAATGAGTTTTAAGAAGGCTTTGATGATGAAATTAGCCGGGACTGCGGTGGCTAGTTGCAAAGGTCACGAGGTGGAGATCGTTGTTGAAGGAGTTCGAAGGAGGCCAGAGATTACGAGAGAGTTTGAGAGGGAGAGAGAGTAAGAGATTACACTAAAAGGTTGGAGCTTGATTGTTTGATTGGGAATGTGAATTGAGTTGTATAATCATCGGATATTATATAGGAAATTGGAGCTTGATTGTTTGATTGGGAATGTGAATTGAGTTGTATAATCATCGGATATTATATAGGAAATGATCCTAGAGAGGTTAGGGATATGAATGGTTAGAGTTTAATTTGTAGCTAGTAGGGCTATTAAATTGATGATGATATTTATTACAGATCATGAAAGACAAGGGGAATCAGAAGGATTATATATCCATCCTAAATAAATATTAAATTTCTCTTAGAGATTCTTATAGCAAAAGATTTTTAGAGTTGATGTGTAGGATAAATTTAAGGATAAATAACCCAAACCAATTAATTGATTGATAGACTTGCTATAAACTCCACTCTTATAAAATTAATATCACATGTGCCTTAAGTTGTGCTTTTGTTTAAGAGTTAATTTTAGAAAACTTCCCCTCAACTATGAAGGGCATGGCAACCCCCCTCCCCCCGACAAAACTATTTAAAACTGAGTAAATCTCTGCCAAGTTTTGGGTGTTTTGTAGATAATCCATCTCAATTTAAAAAATATTGATTTAACCCTAGTGAACTATTCTCACTTAAACCTAACCTCTAAAAACTAACATTATTGAGTCTTATCTATTATGTGACAAGTACTTGACTTGGAAAGACTAAAATATCAATCAATCATAAAAGAATTACCTTGGCTTTTGCCAGATAAAAGAGGTGATATAGAGGGGAAAAGAATTGTTAATTGGTTGTGATCCTTTTATTATTGGTTGAGAGTTTCTTTTTAATTAAAATTATTTTTTAAGAGGGTATTTTGTCCAAATCACATATCGAAGTAACTATTTTAAGGGGGTTTGTTGATAGAAGTGCTAAAGATTAGGAAAGTTTTCATGAGACACTCTATAGTTGAGAGGTGTTTTCTAAAATTGTACCAAAATTAAGAGGGGTAATCTATAACACCCCACATAATGATGGGGTTTTGTCAAATTGAATCAGTTGAGTAGGTTTTATAATACAATCCCCATAGTTGAGAGGGTTTTTAAAAATTAACACTTCTTTTAAATATGGCTTATTTATAATTTGTCCCTCAAAATTTTAATAATTTAATATTAGTCCCTAAAATTATGAGCAATTTCAAAAATTTGTGGGAGTAACATAGAATCATTGGATATTTAAAATCAATAATATCTAAATAACCTTTACATATTTGCTCTTATAGGTACTCTATTAAATATAGACCAATATATTGCTATATCGACCAATATATCGCTATATCGACCAATATATCGGGTTAAAGACCTTATTTCTGTAATATTTTATATTATTTTCTTTTGTTTATTGATTTTTTTGATATATCTTCTGTTATTGAAAATATGACCGATATATCCCTTTGAAGATATCAAGAAAATCATGTCATTATTAATTTGATTGTGGGCTCGGGTTTGGATCGTGTTTGGGAAATAAAATCGAAACCCGTAAAACCCACGAAGGCTACAATTCTTCTCCCAAATCTCTCCATTCTAGGCTCTCCCAAGCATATATCTTGATGCAAATTCTTATGTTTAAAATTTATTAATATGTTAGGTTACATATTACAATGTCATGTTATGTATGAATGTTATCTAATATGACACCCAGTATTACATACATAAATATCCCTGATTTTTGCAACCCGATGTCATGGATTTTGTTTTTTAAATACTTATTTGATGTTCAACACTTTGTAGTAGTCCTTCAAAAGTCTCTTCTAAAATTTTCTAAGCAAAGTATATAATTTCAAGAAATAATTCAAAATCTTGAGACTCATTCAAAATATGATGCTTTACTTTTTTCACATCTCATCTACTGTATAAATATAAGCTAAGCATCTCGCCTAATATTGTATGATGAATATTATTTATCAATTGGATCATATACTATTGTTTGTGGATAACAAAGATATCAAATCTTTTGTAGGCTTAACTGAACTTAAATACCTTATAGTTTACCAAAATTATATTTACATACTCAACTTGTATCTTGCTGCACTTTTTTTTTAAATTTTAGATAACGTATCTTGATGCAGTTAAATATCCTAATGTTTTCGAAAATTTAATGTTTGTACCTTCTGTTTTGTTACCTAAACATAAGAATGTTCTTTGTAATTTTCCTATATGAGTTTCATGGTATAATTTTAGGACAATTCTATGTTTTATCCTCTTTCCATAAATACTTTATTGATATATAATTATCTATTAATATATTACCATACAATACTAATAGTTAATATGATATAGAGTTTTATAATAGCGTTGGAAGTTCTAGGGACCAAATTATGCAAATTTAAAGTGACATATAATATAATTAATTAACAATGATAATTAATTTAGTTTAGTTAGTATTAGAATGTAATATTAAAAAAATAGGGGTAATATAGTCATTGGAAAGTTTTTCCACAACTCCTTTTTTTAAAGGGAGTATGATTAGATTATATTATATTAGATTAGATTAGATAAAACAAAGTTTAGGGGTAATTTGTAACACTCCAAACTTCAGGGGGTCATGTGAAATTAACTGCTCTCTCTCGCGTTCAGGAGCTGCGATCGATCGAGGAGGGAGGGAAATGGCGAAACTGTTATCTAAGCTCAAGGGTTTCTTCAGCTTAAAAACCCTCGCCGGCGTTGACAAGGCGGGAAACCGCTACTTCACTAGAGTGGAGGACGTTGATGGAATCAGTAATCATCTCGCTCTCTCATTGATCTCTTTCATCCTTTCTCTTTTTACTTTCTTGCGACCCATTTCTCGAATTTTTTTACTGTTTAAAATCCTATGTTATTGGAGCTATAATGGGATCTTGGTTTTCCATTAAATTCATTGTTTGTGGTTTATTAGGTGTTGAATTGTATGGTAATTGTTTTCTTGGTTGCGATTTGACTGACTCTGCTGCATAAATTAATGATTATTCTGATGGGAAAAGGTTGGTTTAGTAATTGTTTCTGTAGGATTATGAAATGGTGATGATTATTTTGTCTAGTTGTTCCTTGAATTCAATGCTCAGAGGTTTGACCGCGTAGTTTATGTTATCTCGGTGATTTGTGGTTATAAACTGAATCTGAGATCTGGGTTCTTGATAAAATACATGGTTCGATGTTAATGTGAATTGGTTTGGTTAATTAGGTGTTGAATTATATGATTATTGTTCTCTTGGTCGTAATTTGATTGAATCTGCTGCATAAATTCTTGATTATCTTGATGGGTTTCTGTTGATTTAGAAATCATTTTTGTATGGTTATGAAATGGTGATGGTTATTTTATCTAGTTCTTTTCTTCAATTTCTGCTCAGAAGCTGTTTGTGGATTTGACTAAGAGGGATCTGATGTGTAAGGTAACACCTTATACTATCTTAGTGATTCTTAGTTATACAATGAATTTGACCTGGGTTTTGATGTTTGATTAGATCTATCGAATAGGTTGGATATATAAGTGTTGTTTTTAACCTTTTTATGACATGAAAAAATTCTTTACAGCTTTAATAATCATAGATTATTTCTTTAAGAAAGTTCATTATTAATAGATTTTATTTTTCGATCCATGAATTTGGAACTAGATTTCGTATTTCATTTGATTTATTGGACAATAGGCATTTTTGATACTATGTTTTTATGATGGGTTTGATGACTATGTTGTGGTGAATATATATAGCAAAATGAGCTACCAAGAGATAGAAGTGTGAAGCCCACACTTTTTGATGTAACTTTTAGGGTGGGCGTCATCACATGGCTACCTCTTGACAGCTTATTTAACAAAATGAGCTACAATCTCATACCCATTATTTTCTTTAAAATAATAGTTTGTGTTAGAAGGCTTGATGTTGCACAGTTCTTCATTTCATGGTTGATCTATTGTCAGGTTTCAATGTTCTTTGCTTAAGGTATTTTTTGCTCCTTTTTTTTCCTCCATAAAACAGAAGTCTATTTGGATGAAATTATGTCGTTATCTTATCGACTTCAAATGCGATGATTGAATGAGGATTAGTAAAGTATTTATTTTAGTGAAGCTTTTGAATTGAAAGATGCTCCTTCTTTTGAGTGAGTACTGGATTTTTATGCTCTCTCTTCATTTATTATTGCCATTAAGTTGTTAGCAATACTAAAATCATTTCAAATACCTAAATAAAATTTTGGATGAGTATTAAGTATTATTAATTATACTTGACAGAGGTTGTCATGTTTTCTAACTTCCTAGTAATTCTACAGTGAAGGAGAAAAGATGGGTGATATTCAAAGGCGAGGAAGATCCGACAGCTATACCAGGTAGGTTTGAACAAATCATAAAGTAGGTGCTTTCTTTGTAATAGTGTGCCAGGATTTTTTCATCATAGGTCATTAAATAGTTAGATTAGTTTTTACCAAGACAATAGCCATTTCTTTGTTCACATAAATAAATGTATTGTATTTCGCTATGTAGTACATGGCCTTGATCGAGTAAATCTTGAGATCTAACTACTTCTTGTGGTGTAGTTGAGTGGATATGCTGGTTGAATGGCCAAAGGAAGAAAGCTCCAACTCCACAGGCAAGAAAAATATCTTTGGTTGGTATTGTAAAATGTTTACGGAAGCTTGAGAAGTTACATGGTTTAATTTACTCAATCTTTATTCTTTATATATTTAGCTTATTGCATATCTATATACCTTTAGAAATTAAGTGAAGCTTATTGCAGTTCCATCACTATACAGTATATGCTGCATTGATTTGATCTATGTTAAATTTGAATAGGGGAGAGAGAGAGAGAGAGAGAAATGAGTATGCTTGGTTCTAAGCACAAAAAGTTGTGCTTGGTAGTGAGGTGGCATTTGATTTGGCCTTTTTTGTCTTATTTAGTTATAGGAATGATAGAAGCAGTCATGTGGATAAATTTTTTTTGTATTTTTTCTTTTCTTTTCTTCTTTGTCCTCCCTTTTTGGATAGTAGACAATAGGTGATCAACTGACCGGTTGAATTATGTTTGAGCATAGGATCAATGGCTAGGATTCAACTGATAAGTAAATAAAAACTAAGAATTTTCTTCATCAGCTAATTATAATGAAATCTCAACCTATATATTTATAGGGTTATAAAATTTTATTTTCTATCATAGCTTTTAAAATTAAAGACTAGAATTTAAATTCAAACAAACTTCTAATCCTACTACAAGTACCCTGTCCTACTAGATTAAAATTCTAACTAAGTCCAAAAATTAAAGTTTAAAAATTTAAAATCTAACCAAATAAAATCCAAAATTCTAGTAAAATAAAAAAAAATACAATTTGAATTTCTAACAACTCTATCTATAAAGTTTCTTTGAGTCTTGTCTTGCATCACTAGTCATGCATATTTTTAAAAATAAACTCCCATATTTAATATTAGTGCTACTAACATTTAGGTAAAAGTATCATTAACTAGTTATGTTTGTAGTTTTGCCCCCAGTGACAAAAGTTTCTGGATCCGCCCTTGTTTTAACCTACAAAAAATAAAATAAAAATTGAACAGTCCACATCCAATAATTTAGATGATCAAAGTTCTTGAACTGTATATAAATTTTGTGATCCGGTTCTATCACTATCTTTATTCATTGCCTCAGCTCTAAACTCCACTGCATGAAGAATCGAAGTGTGAGCTGCCTCTTAAATCCTCCTCTAACATGCGTTATCCATCAACTTTTCCTCTTAATATTTGTGATTTCTCATCTAAGTTGTATGGGTATGGGTACTGGAGTTGTACGGTGGAGTTGTACGGGACACGACAAACTTGTAAAAGGTGGGTAGGAGGACACAGCTATATATGTGCATGTTATATATATTATATGTATTAAAATTAATAATTTACATAAGATCAATATTGTTTTTTCATTTATATTAGATGAATATATAAGAAATAGATGTGAAGTGTAGAAGATATGTCCAAGAACTATATGTGGAGTATTTAAATTAAAACATGTATTACATAATTAAGTATACGCTTGAACAAGCGTGTGCATATATTCAAGAAGTTTTGGTACGGGTATGTGTCCATGGGTACAGCTTCTGATTGAAGCACCCAAGTAATGCTCATCAAGGGACTTACAATGAGTTGAATTCACGCATATTAGTGGTGCAACTGACAGAAAACAAGTCCTTTTCAGTTAGCGTCCTGCTACCTCAAAATTTATCAGGACCCTGTTATGTCAAGAATTTTTTATTATTCTTGTTATCAAATTGGGATTGTCCCCCTGCTCCAATCTTTAGTGGCTAGAAAGATCGTTTATGAGTATGAATAAGCTCCAGCGAACACAGGCTCATGTTCATGTTTCTTCTTGTAATTTGAGAATATCTAAGATGTGTGTGCATGTAGGCTTAGTCACTTTTCTTGTATACTGTACATGATGTGTTTTTTCTGATCTGAGCTGCAACTTGTAATCCATATCTTGTTCTTCAACCAAGGGTCTACTTTCAAATAGAAATTGAACTGCAAACTGTATTAACTCATAACTAGATGGTAGCAGAAGAAAAACTAAATCACAGGAGATAACTAATGAAGTGTGATAACTCTTTCTTGTTAACTTTATGTGGGCAGCCCTGATCTCTAACACGAATCTAGAACATAATTTTTTTGTTTTTGTATGTACGAAACTGCTGCACCTAAACTTTGTAATTTTCTTACATTCCAACACATTAAATATGGGCCATAAAGTGGCCTTTTTTGTACCCTAGAGGAGGGGGTGATTAGGGTCTTATGCTAATCTAATCCGATTTTATGCCAATTAAAACTAATAACAGAATATCTTAGCAAGAATGAAATGCAATAAGATATATTAGCTAGGATAAGGCAATATGAACAATGAAATATATCATAGTAAAGAGATATACTATGAGATATATATGCAAGGATATGAAACAAACACAAGGGTAAACAAAATGAAACAAGATAGTGGATGATATAAATAATGAGACAATGGCGATATGAGCAATGAGCACAAATATAAATAAACGCCAAAGCACACTCAAACACAATCAAATGATCACGGAGTTCGGACCTTCCGTCCTACGTCTCCGCTCCCCACTCCCGGGGAGAAATCTACTATCACAACCGGGTTTTCTACGCTCACCCGAATAACGTTTACAACCACACTATGTCGGTTTTTAACGATCACCGATCAACGTTCACAATCACTCACAGTGTCGGTTTTCAACGCTCACCGAACAACATATACACTCACACTCATAATGTCGGTTTTTAACGTTCACCGATCAACCTCCACTCCTCACACTCGGTTTTCTAGCTAACCGAAAACTTTACAATCTCACAATTATAATAAATAATAAATTTGTTCTTTACAATAGATGAGAACACAATGAAAGCTCACACTCAATTGTTACAACTCCCCACAACCTAAATTATACTATGAATGTAAATACAATAAGCTCAAAGGTTGTGTGTGTAAGCAATAAGAAAATCAAAACTAAACTCAATTAAAATCTAGCATATAGAAATTATGAACAAATCAATAAATAGCTAGAAATAGAGTTTAGGAATTCTTCTCTGAAAATTAAGTTGGAGAGGAGGATTAAAATGAAGTTCAAACACTGTAGATGATCTTCTCCACTTGTAAAACAATCTTCACAAACCAAACAGACTTTGAACCCAACTAAAAACCTTTTCAAAACTCTTTTAAACTTCTTTAAAACTATCCATTGGGTTACTGAGATAAAAGGGGTTTGAGGGTTTATATAGGAAGAGAAAACAACAGCAAAAACCCCAAACAAATGACAAAAAAGCCCCAGCCAATGGTAACAAGAAATAGCCGTTGGAAAGGATCTGATGAAAATCTCGCGGTCGACCGCGAGCCACTTTCGAAGCTGAGAATTTTTCAGAGATTTTGACGGTCGACCGTGGGAAAATTCGAGCTGACGGTCGACCGTGACGGTCGACCGCGAGAGTTTCTGCAGCCCACTTAGCAAAAGACACAGGGGCGGTCGACCGTGGCGGTCGACCGCAAACTGATATATAAAAAATTCAGGTTTGAAAACAGTTTGCTGATTTTAAAACACTGTTTAAAAATATCAAATAAATTTCAAAAATTATGAAACTTTGGGAAATGATCATAGACATGATAATACACATGCTACAAGAACTGGTTTTCTAAAAGGACTTCCCAAATGAGAAATATCATCATTTTGCAAAATAGTCCAAAACATGAAAATATAAACATATGAATTTTGACATTTTGGCTAAACCATGTTTTGAAACTTTACAAAATGATTTTATAGACTTGAAAAAGGATGTAAACTATTGTTATGAAGTCTATAAACAATGAATGTAGTATTTTATCAAAATACACATATAATGCACTAAAACATGATTTCGTTGAACTAAATAAATTGATATTGATGAAATCATATATATGCATATGAGTATGAAACTAAAATATGTTTTCTAATTATATTTAATTGTTTCATAGTAAAACTTGAAAACTATCAAACCAAAACATATATGTATATATATAACTATATATATACATGGAAATCAATAAATGTGTGTGTTTATATGATTGAGCTTAAAGTACTAACACACATAATATAAACTCCTAAACTAGATTACCCAAGCGTGATGAAGGTCTTCAATGAGCTCAACTTGGTACACTTGCGGATGAAGCTTGAACTTGGATCTTCAACTTGAATTGTACATAGCTTCACCTACTATTCCGCCAACCTCCATTAGATATTATCGTTGAAGCGCAATCCATCCAACCTCCAACTTGTTGTTTGCCTAGGATAAATACAAAACACAAACACTAGACAAACAACATTAGAAGTAAATTGTTTGTTTAAACATCATCAAAACAAGAAGGCCAACAGCCTTTCCTAAGTTTCAACTTGCTTTAAGTAGACACTAGAACTGGCATATGAATAGGCTCAAGACATCCACTTAATCATGATCCTAAATTTTGAGGACGCCATTTGGTACTCTTTTTGCTTTTAACTTTCATTATTGACTACAACTACAAGTGGGTTAAACTCTTGGTAAATTCTTGTTTGAGATGCAGTAGGTTTAATTTGTCGGCTTCTAATAGTCATTATACATCTGCAGGAAATGGTTCAGCTGGAGGCTATGCGGGAGCGCGTTAAACAAAATGTCTTACGTATGTAACTTCTTAGTTATATACTAGCATATTTTAAGATCAAATATTGTCTACTAGCATATTTTAAGATCAATCATGAAAATGTCTGCGAGCAGCTACATCATAAGAGATATCTTTCTCTTGACTATATAGTTTGAGAAAAATTCTCGACTATATATGGAACCTTTAGTAACAGATTATGTTTCAGTACTTTCACTAACCAAACTAGAGGTTATGGTTGAACTGCCCTAGTTAAATGTAATAATCAAGTTTTCTTTCTTCAATCATTCCACCATGTACCAATTTCAGCAATAACATTTCAGTTGTTCGTTATGCAAGTAAATGATAACCTTTCATAGTTTTGCATTTATCAAAGCAGAAAGATATATAAAAGACATTTTTATGCCAATGACCTAATTTCCATGCATCCCTCAATTTTATCAACCTGTAAGTACTTTGGCAGCTTGGCTACCATACCTTAAGAATGTTATTGCTTCCTAACCAACATGCTATGCATGTTAACATTGTTTATACATACTTTTTTATCTGAAGAAAGTTGTTTTATACCTTCAAGCCAAACTAATTCTTCAGTTGTAGGTAAGTGGTTATTGCATCATTAGCGGCTCTTTCTTAAATTTTCATTGTTTCTTGTCAAAGTTTTGAAGAAACAAGAAGAAGAAAAGAAGGCAAGTGGTGCTTATCCTCATCAGAGAAAAAATATTGGTATGTCATTTACTTAGCAATGCACTTTAAAATAGAATGCAATACACACTTTATTATTGTAGTTACTAGTTAAGTGTTGTAATGAAATCCTTGTATTGATTTTTTTATATCTATCCACACAAGAATAGAAATATAGTAATCTCATTGAAATTATTGTTTGGCATTTCTAGCATTTGATGCTCATTGAGCAATTTCTGACTCCTGAAGCAAATTCTGCAGCTTTTAATCCGGAGAAAACATCAGAAGGTTTTTTGAGGAAAGAGAAAATATCACAATTGCATAAAAGTTTAAATTTACAGATTAACTTTTTTTGTTTCTTATACCACTTCTTCCATTTCCATTTGCTTATACCACTTCTTCCATTTTTTGTTGCTTATACCACTTCTTCCATTTGCATTTTATCTAAGTAAATATTTGGCATTTGTCACAAAACTAAGTCGGGGAACATGGCTTGCTGTGCTCAATCCTAACATTCAAATGCGGAAAGATGAGAAATTAGGTGACGTTCACGTGCATGCTTAACCTCTTTCTGTTGTTCATGTACTGGACGTTGGAAAAACTACATGATTGGTGATTCAGCATGCATCCGTTTGATCCACATGAAATACTTCAGTACCTTCTTGTGCTTTATATTCTTTTTCATTGATTAATCAGCTATATTTCCTGCATTGAATTGGTAAATTTTATTCATTTGACCCAAATTACGAAAGTGCAGAAACTTACTGATTATAATTACCTACTCATTTATGTCAAAAGTGACAGGACTAGGACCGAAAAGATGTTCTTTATATCCAGAAACGTTGGAACTTGGTACCAATTGACCGATTAGTAATATCTTTTGTTGCAATGTTCATCATTATAGCCATCTAGCATTTTTATTGGCATGGGTTGAGAACGGAGTACAACTATATGAGCTGAGGTGTTTCTACAAAAGGATTAACCTAACTTTATGACCGTCTGCTTGCGTAAAGCCTTCGAATAGGGCTGGTATTGGGTTAGGTTGGGTATTCTTACCCTACCCTCAAGGCATTAGATTCAGGCCCGTTTGTGATCGGGTTTGTCTTCTTGATACCTGTTGATTTCGGGTTCTAATATTAGAAAGAGTAATGAGCCATACCCTTCCAAGTGCTTATCACATCTTGGTTCTGTTTCATCTTTGAGGTTTGATCCAGTATAATGAAAGAATATAACTATAAATTAAACGTGACTACTTGTGATATAAAAATTACTGTATACTTAAGAATCATATTTAAAAGTTACGTTAGTCCTTTTATGTATTTTCATTCATTCAACTCTTTCCTTATGAATTATAAATAATTTATGTAACTATTTTGGATGAGCATCCAAAAAATTATTACACTTAAAAGGGAAAAAATTTGCTTATTTTTATGGGATATTTACAAGTGAAAACCTTTACCAACTTATTTTAATTTAACTAAATAATATGTGCATATACACACGTACACAATGAAGCATAATTAGCTCATAATATTTATACAGTGGGTATGATTTAAGTTGACTCGAACCAGTTCTAGTTTTCGTAAATCTTTGTCCTACCTACTTTAGGTTAAGGAAGTGAGGTAACTATTCAATAAAATGATATTAAGCATGTTTCCCATATCTTCTCAAGAAGCAAATGGGGTATTTCTTTGCAAGGGAAAGAATCAGTACGTATTTGATTCTTTGAGGAATGAATTGAGAGAATTGGATTTGGATTATTCATATTCTGGCCAGGACTGGTTCAATTTAATCTTATCCAACCCGAAATCGAGACTGGGGATATCGGACCTAGTCCTGTTTGGCCCCTATCAGGTTGGGATAATTGGGAACATTCTTAGACTCTTATCCCTTTGAGTTAGTTCCTAATTCCTATCCAGGGCTATATAACTAATCAAGTAACTTTGTTTTGCATTTTAAAGGCAATTGAGAGTAAAAATTTAACTCACTTCAGACAAAGTTTAAAGTTCTGCAGGAGCTTTACACTTTAAAAATTATGTAGATTGAGTTAGCATCTGGAAAAAAATGGGAGATGATGGATTCACAATATGAAAGCTTTATTCAGTATATCAAAATGCCAAAATAACTACTAATTGGAATTTTCAAATGTTATGCACTTATGCTCCACAGCTCCAATTCTAGTTGTAACCTTATGCTATTTTTTATATATTTTTCCCTTCAATTTCATTTGATATTCTTTTAGATGTATTATCTAGAAATCATTTGAAGTGCTCATATGAACTGGTTAGGTCTAAATCATTACTTAAATACAGGGAAAGATGGATCACCAGATCTTAGGAGTTTCATCCAACAGTTCCCTGATGCTTCCTTTGGCCACAAGAATGGTAGAGTCTTTATCTTTTTGTAGTGCACTGTATGCTTTCTCTGGTTGAATCTTTTTTGGTGGCTACATGATACTGTTATTGCAGAATACTTATAAATACTGATGATCCTTTTTTTTGGCCATGCTAAACAGTTTGCTTAGATTCCACCCTCGTTCTTTCCTTTTCAGAAAACTAATGCCTGATCTCTATGGTCACTTGGAATTTTTATCTTTTATGACTTTTTTCCTGCTTGAACCTATCCTTCTAGCCTTTCACATGTTTCATTTTTTAATAACGTTGTACTATGCTATTGTTTTCTTAAGATTTCGTAAGTTGTTTATTTATACTTCTGTGTGTGTCGATGCTATGTATGTGTGTTGTGTGTAGACACACAACAGCAACAGCGACAGTTTTTATCCCAAAATTTGGAGGCTGGCTCCACAAATCCTAATCTTCCTTTCAATTCGATTTAGGTCTATCTCATCTTTTAATTTAATCAATAACATATGTGATGGGAAATAACAAGATGGAGATTCTTGGTTTCTCACAGACATTCTTCTCCCCTTCCTTCTCAAATGAAAAAAATACAATCATATTTATAGAAAAACCGAGAAAAATAAAATCCTAACTAAAGAAGAGATAACAACAAACAACTAAAAGAAGATGGCATCAGATAAGATCTTAACCAAAGGAAAGGATAAAATCAAATAAAATCATAAAATCGTAATTGAACTAAATCTGATCAAATCTTCATTTAAGATTCAAATCTGAATTTGCCCTGCATCATATCTCTTCCTCTTGAAGAAACGCGTCCTTGAGTTTAAAATTGCATAGCATTGATGGACTTTGAATTCTTGTATTGCTAAAGTCGAAGCTACAAAGGTGGATTTTTTCAGCTCTAATACCAATTGATGGGGAACAACAAGACGGAGATTCTTGATAGGACTTATTTGGATCAAATAAAATAAAACACAAATAATAAAATTGCACTCTTCATTTCAGAATAGAAAAAGATATAGTCACACCTGGGCACCTTACATGTCCAATACTAGCAGCAATTCATATGCAGATTTCTCACAAGCATTCTTCTCTCCTCCCTCCTCAAATAAAAAAAATATAATCTTACTTATAGAAAATGAAGAAAAATAAAATCCTAACTAAAGAAGAGATTACAGCAAATAACATCCTAACTAAAAGAAAATATCATCGGATAAGATCCTAACCAAAGGAAATGATAAGATCAAATAGAATCATAAAATCCTAATTGAACTAAATTTGATCAAATCTTCATGAAACCTTTTTTTTTAAGATTCAAATCTGAATCTGTCTTGCATCAAATCTCCCCTTTTTGAAGAAACGCATCCTCAAGTTGAAAATTGCATAGCATTGATGGACTTTGAATTGCTGCATCTCTGATGTCGAAGCTACAAAGGTGGTTTTTTTCTACTCTGATACCAAATGACAGGGAACAACATGATGGAGATTCTTGATAGAACTTATTTGGATCAAATAAAACGAAATACAAATAACAAAATTGCACTCATCATTTGATAATAGAAAAGATATAAATATGGACCTCACACCCAGGCACCTCATATGCCAACATCTCACATACCTAATACTAGCTGCAATTCACATGCAGATTTTCACAAATATTCTTCTCTTCTCTCTCCTCAAATGAAAAAATACAATCTTAGTTATAGAAGTACTAAGAAAAATAAAATCCTAACTAAAGAAGAGATAACAACAAATAACATCCTAACTAAAAGAAGATAACATCAGATAAGATCCTAACAAAAGGAAATGATAAAATCAAATAAAATCATAAATCTTAATTGAATCTTCGTGAAACCTTTTTTTTATAGATTCAAATCTGAATTTGTCTTGCGTCAAATATCCCCCTCTTGAAGAAACTTATCCTCTAGTTTAAAATTGCATAGCATTGATGGACTTTGAATTGTGACATCGTTGATGTCGAAGCTACAAAAGCGGATTTTTTCGGTTCTAACACCAAATGATGGGGACAACAAGATGGAGATTTTTGATAGAACTTATTTGGATCAAATAAAACGATAATACAAATAAAAAAATTAGACTCTTCATTAAGAATAATAAAAGATAATAATATGGGCCTCACACCCGGGCACCTCACATGCCTAATACTAGTTGCAATACACGTGCAAATTTCTTATATACATTCTTCTCTTCTCCCTCCTCAAATGAAAAAAATACAATCTTATTTATAGAAAAACTAAGAAGATAAATAAAATCCTAATTAAGAAGAGAACATCAGATAATATCCTAACCAAACGAAAGGATAAAATCAAATAAAATCATAAAATCCTACTTGAACTAAATCTGATCAAATCTTCATGAAATCTTTTTTTTTATAAAGATTCAAATCTGAATCTGTCCTGCATCAATATGCTTGTTAATTGGTTCCAACCAAGTCCTCTTGGGTCCATCTCTAGCCTTCTTGCTTCAGTAGTTGTAATGTTATCATCTCTCGTTATTGGTGCATTTTATGGGCTTTGCTGCACATAGCCAAACTATTTCAATTGATGTTCTTTCATTTTGTCCTCAATAGAATCAAGTCACGATCCCCTACATGTTTTATCCTATTTCGTAGTGTATTAACTATTTCATTTCTGCCACCCTCATTTTCACATGTTGTCTTTTAATTGCCCAACATCACAATATGTATCTATATGCACATATAAATATATGTATATGTATATATATACGTATACATGCACACACATATAGACATACATACATACATACATACATAACATACTTAAATACATATATATGTGTGTATTCAGTAGTATTAAATATTTAATCTGCATTTGGATCCTCATAGTGATTGGATGATCATCTTCCTAAACCCTCTCTGCCCATTGCTTTGGCATGGTCAATTAAATTGATTGTAACTACTAATGCAATATACTTATCTTATTTACAACTAGAAAGAATCATTCCAGAAGCAGTAGATAGTTACCACTAGGAACATGATCATCTTATTCTCAAAGGAAGGTGAGAGGATTTGAATCCTTTGGTTCCAATGTGAAAAAGCCTAAGGTCACAGATCAAGGAACAAACATTCTTCTGATTCTCTGTTACCTTAGAGCTATCATACTGTCAAATTTACATGTTGCATATTTTACTATCAGCTATTTTATTAATACATGCATATTTTCCTCCTTTTGTAATATAGGAGATGAGGGATCAACTGCAAATGATGACACCAAGACTGAAGATAGGTATGGTTTATTATGCTCACAAAACTTCCCAAACCTGAATTTAGATATTGTTGCAACACATAATAACTCTTTCTTTATTACCATTAATTTATCTATTGAACTTGTCCTTTCTTACACAAAGGAAGTTGTAAGTTTGGAGTAGTGACGATTTCACTGTCATTTTATTTTAAAAATTCACTGAACATCATGGAAAAATCTCACATTCTTGAAGACATTTACATGCTTACTTTCATTGAATGCCTTCCTAACATGAAAAATCTAGCCTTGGCATGTGAATACCCAGGGCTAGGAACAATCTATTGTCTAGAACCTAATTCATGTGTAATATAAGAAGCTTATTTGTGTAAGTTAAGTTCGTAGTGAAAACCATATAAATTTTGGATATTAACATATACAGGTACATGTACGTGTATTATGTATTGGATCTGGCACCTCATTTAAGAAAAAGCTAAATTGCACTTAAATACCCTATTGTTTCCCAAAAAAGCATTTATATACTCCAAGTTTCAAAATGGAGCAAAAAAATACCGTAAGTTGTTTGCCGTGTGAATTTGCTTAACGATGTTAAATTTAACCTTTAAAGATAGAATACTCTCTGCCTAAATAACCCCCCATGGTTAAAGCTTAAAAACCCCAAAACCTTATAGTTACAACTAGGAGTGTTATCGAGCGGATATGGTTCGGATATGACGTTTACCATATTCATATCCGCTTTTTATAAACGGATACGGATACGGATACGAATCACCCTCGGTAAGAAAAAACCTTAACCATATCCGCATTTATCGGAAACGGATACGGTTCGGATATTTGAGAATCGGATCGGATATGATCACGGATATAAACGGATATTCGACATAAATCTATTGGACTTATAATCTTCATACAAAAATCTTATACACATATGAAAGAAGATATTGTCAATGAATTAAAGCAAAGTTTCAATTCGACCTTATGCAGAAGACGGCGGATCAAACAAAGACGAAGCGGAATCAAAACAGTTTGCGGAATCAAAACCAGTATTTGCTACGCAAAAGCATAGGCAAACTTCATGAAAGAAATGCAGCTCCTGTCAAGGACAATTCATAAAGCTAACTTAAATAGTTCAATGTCGTACATTTCAGAAACATCATTACAAGTGAATAATCAAACTATGTTAGTACTCAAATCATCTGAATATGAGAAGCCCTAAGACAATATTAGCAAGCAAACGACACATAAATGAATAAGGTTACAGCACATAAATGTAGAACCTATTACTGGGACATAATCTTCATCACAAACCACCGAGCATATGTCACCCAAAATCAAACCGGTAATGAGGAATACTACTTGACCTTATTAGACCAAAATAAAATTTCAGAAAAGGGGTCTGATTGAAATGACACTGACAGTGAGGAAACACGCAATACAAAAATCTAAAAGGAATATAAGTAGAAATCAGCAGATAGCAGAACTCATCATTACAGTCTCCTAATTTTTCTACAGAAATCCAAATGAATAACTTCTACAAATAACATTATTTCGCAAAATCCCCCCACGGCCGCCATGGGTATCCAAAACAGTAATTTCTACAAGTAGTAGATAATGAAGGCCTAGCTTAAAATGGACCATCACTTGCGCAACAATGACGACATCATCGCCGAAGCTAGGGTTCCTCGAGTACGCAGCACTGTCCCCAGCAGCGCACACCGACGCCTGAGATCACCAGCTGTGACCCGCCGCCGTCGCTGGAGTGGAGAATCGTGGAGGTGTGGTCCGTGTGGAGCACTGGATCGAGATTCGAGAGTGGAGGCGGCCTGCTCCTGAGGGCTGAGTGAGGATGAGGGCCTAGGGTTTTTTCTTTTTAGTTTTGGTTTTGGGTTAGTGGGTTTGTAACTATAACATTAGGACCCGATTACCCGAATCACTATTATATTGCGGATATCCGTATCCGCAACCCTTTATATCCGTTACCGAATCCGTATCCGAAAAAAAATCCGAAACCATATCCGTATCCGTTACCGTATCCGCCCGGTTTCAAATTTAGCCTACCATATCCGTATTCGTTCGGATACGGATGGGGATCGGTTCGGATATATCCGAACCGTTTGGCACCCCTAGTTACAACTAATTTTCTCAAAATCTCTCTCTCCCACTTCCACAATGAAAAACTAGGGTTTTTTAGTTTTCATGTCTAAAATCTCTCTCGTTCTCTCTCCTTGAGTTCTGGTTGAGGAATACAACGAGCTGTAGCAGATGGTCCCAATTCTATGGTTTCAAATTGGAGGAACCGAGGAAGATACTCAGATTTTGAAGGTTTAGGGCTCTCTGATTTGTTTCTGAAGGTAAAGCCACCTCCTTTGATCGATTTTGACATAGCATGGAAGTCTAATTAGGGGGAAAATGGAATTTGTGTTTACATGGAAGAAGATGAAGAAGATTAAGATGGAAGAGGAATGATATTTAATATGAGAAAAGGGTTGGTAAACCGGTAATTAATACAATAGCTGAGTGTTGTTGGTAAGTAAATTAGTCACATGAGGCAGCACTGTGAAAATATTTTTGGAATATTCTTGCAGCTAGTTAATAGAAGGTAACTAACTGCACTTTTTTTACAACTTGGGTTTTTTTTAGCCTCGTTTTGAAACTTGGTGTATATAGGTGCTTTTTTGGGAAATAGTAGGGTATCCAAGTACAATTTAGCCGTAGGAAAATGAACTATTGAGTCAAAATGGTGAGGTCCACTTCCTTTGATGTGACTAGAAAGAGGTGGGTCTCATCATTGGTATGTCTCTTGGTAGCTGACCTAGTAAATTGAGCTCTCACCTCATAAATAAGTCATGTGTATGTATCCTGAAGAGAAACAATTTTATCTAGATTATAAGACATATCTCTTGCTTTTGGCTTTTTCTTTTTAGTGAGTAACCACTTAGCATCTTTGTTTACTGACAAGATGTGCATGGAAGAAGTTCATGATTGTAAGGGGTTATCTTTCTTCTTACAGAAAACCTGATCACATTTATAGCCTTCATTTTTTTGCGGTATATTTAAAATCTTCAGAAGTGCAATGTGGCAATTTTTACTGTCCTTTTTAAGAGCTGATTCGGCAAGAGCTGTCTAAGTCTTGACGCATTGTGCTGAATGTTCCTACTAAAGAAATTATAACTTGTAAATGTCTTCATGTATATATTTGGGAATTGATCCAATTTCTAATACATATTCCTTTGATGTTTATTTCAGGTCTACAGAACCTACAGGATCTGGTCAGTCATTCAAACCTGGGATGTGGCAGCCACCAACGTGAAGACGCACAATCTCATTTCTATACAACTATCAAGATTTGTTCATGGTTATCAACTATTTGAACTTCAAGGTTGATACAACTGGGAACTTAGGTTTTTTAGTTTTTTTTTTTTTTTTTTTGGGGGGGGCGGGGGGGGCGGGGGGCGGGGGGGTATATAAGATGCCTTAGTTTATTGGGGAAAGAATTAATCTTCGCTTTGTAAGCGCTCCTTACGCATTTGCTTGGGGTATAAGATGCCTTTAGTTTATTGGGGAATTAATCGCGCTTCGTAAGCTCCTTTCGCATTTGCTTTTGCATTGCCAAGTGTTTAATCCATCTTCACGAGTTTTCAGATATGTGTTGTATTTTATGATGTGTTGTAACATTCAGTTTGTGCAGTTGTACTCTGTAAAAGAAAACACAATTTTGAAGATCTTTTGTATGAGGATTTCTTTTTACAAGTTGACCTCTGGTATTTATACACAACACAAATGTTACCTCTCGTAACTAGTTTATCGGAAACTAATCAAACATCTGTTGTAATCTGTTTGAAGAATTGCCTTAGGCTGCGTTTGGGAACTTGGATTTGGGCTTGGATTTAAAATTCAGGGTATTTTAAATCCAAATCTCTAGTTTGGGTTCTGATTTAGACCAAGATTTTGAATCAATTGATTTAACAAAAAGGAATTTGGAAGCCCAAAACAAGGGATTTCAAATTCCACCCCACCCCCTGTCATTTATCAAATCCCGACCCGATCCTTCGAACTGGTAAGGTGCCTCTCGCTTCATTTTTTTTGCCACTTGAAAGTGTGAATTTTCGATTCTTTCAAGTATATTGACTCTGGAGTCGTTCGCTTTTATTTATATCTCGATTAGCTTATATTGGAAATTTGGAAGGAGTACAATCAAGAGGTTATGATACAAAAATTAAGAGATTAGGATTTAGCAACTCCTGACTAATTAGCTACGGGCATTCTACGTACTCTGATATGGCATTCCTTTGTTCATTTCTCACGACAGCGCTCACCTGTCTCTAACGAATGATTTGTAAGGATCCTTGGCGGTTGAGAGTTCCACCTGCCGATAATCAATGTTTTTGATAACTTCTACCTTAATGAATGCAATGAGTCTGCTTTCATCAAGTGATTAGTTTCCTTGGAATCAATTAACATGTAAATAGTTCTTATGTTTTCTTTAAGAATCCATTTTATTTATGAGACAAACTGTGCATGTGTCTCTGCGTGTTCGGTAGAACCATGTTAGGTAGCTCAAAATCAACAAGGTATGCCAAGAAATACACAAAATAAAAAGGAAACAAGAAGGAACATTTAGTGATGCTACCTGATGAGAAACATAACAAAGACAAAACATAAATTAGGGAAGAAGAAGAAGAAGAGAGGTCAGCGCTGAATAAACGTTTCAAAATTACTTTTTTAATCACCAGATTTGTTATATGTTCAAGGCATCTGCCACAGTGACATGTTTGTACATATTTTGACAGTTAAAAGGTGATTATTTTTGGGAGAGATTTGCCACTTGAAAGTGTGAATTTGGGTGTTGTGAGCTTATGTTGTGAGCTCATGATCAAAACAACTCATTTTTATAATCCAGAGCTACGCCCAGCATTAAGCCACACATCTATTTCAGGTCACTTAAAACATAGATAAACTCGTTGCTGATCATTATCCAAATCTGACACAATGTTCCTTCTCAAGGTATTGTTGTTGTTTTTTCCTATTAAAAGAGTGCCGCCTTCTGATGATATTAAGCTAATATTGGGCTTCACAGTTTGTAGCGTCTCTAGACGAGATGACTACAATCATAAATACCACACACAATGAATAGAAGAGATGGCGACAATCTTGGGCAATTGCAGGAACCAATTCCCGGTAACATGTTATAACTTTGTTTTCTCTGAAAATGGACAAAGACATGAAGGTTTTTTTTTCAGCTTTCCGTACACGCATTGATGAATAAAACATAGCTTGTATTTTTTGGAACCTCTCATATATGTTCGTAATTTCGCAGCTTGTTACGATGTATTGCTGCATGCTGTTAACATTTACAACCTGAGCAAGATTTTAACAGCTATTGTATTAGAAGTTCACTCATGTACTCTGGATTATATTTACTACACGGTTGGATGTTTATGGTTAAACAATTATTGAAAGTTATGCTAGTACCAGAGTATGAACACATTACTTTTTCTGCACTATTGTACTGTCTAAGATTTTAGTAACATTGATTAGTGTATTGAAATTATAAGTCGACCTTCTTAGTGATCTTTGGATATTTCAAATGCAGACTTCTTTCGATGCCCCTGAAGGCAATGATACCGTCGCTCTTGATCTGGGGAGCATGGGAAAGGGCCAGGCTTGGGTAAATGGTCATGGCATTGGAAGGTTCTGGTCATTGGTAGCCCCTAAAACTGGATGTCCCAGAAGTTGCAACTATCGTGGAGCTTATAATGAAGACAAGTGCACAACAAACTGTGGGGAGCCAACTCAAACCCGGTATCACTACCTTCCTACAATTACATATTTGATTTTTGGAAGGTTCTGGTCATTGGTAATCCTATACGTCTTGAATTCTTTATTGAATTGCATTTGTTCAGTTATTGTTATTTTCCATGTTTGATATTAGGTATACTTGTCATTCAGGAACACTAGTGCTTTTTGTGGTTGTGGTTGTGATATGTATTAGGTATAGCTGTCACTGCATCTAAATTTTCTTCTCCCCTTGACTCATAACCACCCCCACATTGATGAATAGGCTTCATGTAGCCTTAAAAATTATTGATGTGCTCATTTTCTTTGCTAGTAAGGTAACTAGGTTTTGATCTCGAGAGGTTAGTGGGTGGTTGATACAGTGCTTGGGTGCCATTTTGCATCCAGGAGTCTCATATTCATTGTGTGTTATACTCGCACCTGGTAAAATGCTGTATAACTAGTGTAGCTTACGGGCTAATGTAGAGTAGGTTGTTCTTTTAGCTCTGTATTCTTTTTTTTTCTTTCAGCTCTGTATTCTTTTTTCTTTCAATTTGTTGGAAAGAACATGCATTCTCATTTTTGTTCTTCACTTTGGGTCATTTCTTGTCTGATTTTTTTTTTATTTTACATGTTCTGTATTTCATAGACTATGGTCTTTGTTTCGACCGTTCCTTGTAAAAATCAAGGATCTGAATAGTTGTGACTGTTTAATTCAAGTATCTGAACGTATGTTTGAATGTGTTGAGTTCTGAGATCCGAAGTACATGCTTCCTTTTTTGTTTTCTTAATCTTTTTCTTTTTTATATTACCTGTGTTTTTTCTCTAGGTGCTAATTCTGGACTGGAAGTAATTATTTGTGCTCTTCCTTTGGTTCATGTATGATGTTAGACAAATTTGAGTGACTAAGTCTCATGTATGATGTTAGGCTGAGTTGTAAAGTGTGCGCAAATTTAGTTCTCATGTTTGTTATTAGGTTGTGTATCATCTAGTGTATTGATTTTCCTAACCAGTACTCTCATAAGTCTCCATATGCATTTATGCTTATCTTATTCAGTCTCACTTATCCGACATTTTTGTTTAATTTGTTAGCTTGTTAGCTTGATTGAAAAAAATTATTGATCTGCTCATTTTCTTTGTAGGTTTTGGGCTCCATATCGTGATGGCTAATGAATTCCTCTTTTGTTGCTGCAGATAGGGTTTATCATACGAGCACTTCTGAATCCTCAGTTGTAATTTCTTTACATCAAGGATACTTCTCTTCTCACATGCTATTCAGTTTGCAACTCTTTGTATTTTTCTTATTAACATTTCTCTTGGTATATTAAAGATCAAATTGACTATGTAATTGTCAGTTGTACCTGCATTTGAGAAGATAATGGAATTGTTACTTATTTGCTCTGATATTAACTTATTCTCACTTTGAATATGTATGAAATATGAAACAAGCCTCAAGTGTTTTCCAGTCTGGATATCTGTGAAATATGCAATGGTAATGTATTATTTAGATGTTTTTTTTGTAAGATACTTGATATGTTTGTAGAGTTTTCTTTATTTTTATTTTGTTGAAACTCTTGCAAGTTATGGTGGGCAATGAATTTGAAAACTTAGCTAATGTAGCAATCATCGCTAAAATTACCTAAATTTGTGTTTTTTGGTTACTATTTTACACATCTCCGTTGTATTTGATGTAAACAAGATGGGTTAAGAGAATAAATTTTTATCAATTTTAAATTCAAATTCATGTATAATAAAGTACCCAAACACTAGATTTTGAAATCAAAGATTTCAAATCCTTTCAAACACTAGATTTTGAAATCAAAGATTTCAAATCCTTTCATTTAATAAAGATATCCAAACAAAAGATTTCATAAATCATGGATTTTAAATCCTAAATTTGAAATCCCTTGATTTTAAATCAACTTTCCAAATCCAAATCAAAGTTCCCAAACGCAGCCTTAGAGAAGAAATATTTGCTGCTTGGCTTCATTGTTGATTTCAGATTTTCGTTAACAGTACTTTTCACGGTAAATATTGGTCTCTTTGTTCCTTCTCTTTTCATTTTAGTACACAATTGTGCATGTTTATAAACGGAATATGTCAATGAAAAGAACATGTTGTCTGTTTCACCCAAAAATCAGTACGCAAGGTTTTCAAACTCCCTTTTTGGAAACATTCTTGGGCTTGTAACAACTCAAAATATCTTTGTTAGGTTAGAAGCCTAACCAGAAAGTGTAATTTTATTTATTTTTTATTACTAATTTTTGGAGCAAATAAAAAGCAATGTCATTCATGGGAACTAAGAAATTGAAGTTTTGAAAGCATTATTCATTCCAAAAAAATTATTCGTCATAATACTCGGCTTTCTCCGATTGTTAGGTTGAAAACCTAATTTAAAATTTTAGAGCAGAACCTAAAGTTTTATTTTCTTGCTTAGAAAAAGATTGTTGTTTTATTAAAATGAAAATTAGCATTAGGCAATAAGGCTAACCCCCAACAGCTAAGATAAAAAACTAAGTGAAGAACTTTTTTGTGTCACCAAAGGCACTGTAATTGCGATGTAAGTATCAGTTGCATGTAATTCTTGTTTATTGTTTTTAAAATTATTTAAATCTATTTGCATCTCAAACAAATTGAAACTAAAATTTCTGGTCCTCCTCGGTATAAGCAGTATTCTTCTGACAGTATACTTTGACTTTATTTGTCTGACAGAAAATATCCCCTTCACTTCAGTGACCCAGAGAATAATAAAAAATAAACATAAAAAATAAAAAACATTAATTTTTTTTTAAAAAAATCAGATATTCCATGATGGGACATGATCCAAAATCCATTATCTCTGCTGACGCCACAGTAGACGTCAGCATCGTTATTGCGAGTGGGAATAAAAACAATATCGCAGTTCAACATCCTTGGCCACCCTCTTTTATCTAGAATAAAATACTTTATTCCGCTAAATTTATCTTTTATTGTTATTATTATTATTACTACTACTATTTAATGATATTTGCAGTAACAGGACAAGGATCAAAGCGATGGGATAATGAGAGCAAGTAGGATTATTGAGTTTATTTCCAAAATATTGATGCCACTAGTGTTCTATAAATAAAATTTTATTTATGTATTTTGGGTTGGGGATTTTGTAGAGTTGAGAGGAGTGGTGGACACCAAAAAAATATTTTGTTATTATTTCTTTAGTGTCACAAACACACTATATTCTCAAATATAAATACTCTCTCTCTCTTTATGCTACTGGGATGATTTCAAACAAACACTTGGGGGTTATTTATAACATTAGTTTAGGGTAGATAAATACTATTAGGATTAGGTGATTACTATTAAGAGTAGGTGTTACTGTAACTAGGTAGGTGGTGGTAGATGTGAAGCTGCTGAATTTTAACACTCCCCCTCAGCAGCGACTTCTCTATCCACGAGTCTAAGCTGATTTTGAAATTTTGCAAACTTTGAAGTACTCAGTGCTTTGGTGAATATATCAGCATGAAAAACTGGATTATCTGTCAATCGTATTGCAGACTAATCATCGGAATGTAAAGCTACTAAGTAGTCTGTAGACTAATGTAGATCTCTCATTAGCTGAAAAAGCCACGTGCTTTCCTAAGCTGCCATCGCTGCTGATCTGTACTCTGTCTCTGTAGTTGACGATGACACCGTTGACTGTCTTTTGCTACACCAAGATATAGCCGCTGAACTAAGACTAAATAAATATCCGGTAGTAGACCTTCAAGTATCATGATCTCCAACATAACATCACATTAACCATAGACCTCACATTCTTTTACTTTCTTATACATGAGACCATAGTTAATTGTACCCTTAATGTACCATAGGGTCCTTCGGATTTCTTCTAAGTGAGGTTTTTTTGACTTCTGCATGTAACGGCTCATGAGACTAACCGCAAATAAAATATCTGGTATTATCATCGTTAGATAGATCAAGCTTCCAACTAGTTGTCGATATATAGTTGGATCTTCCAAATCTTTTCCTTCATGTGCACACAGTCTCAGGTTTGTCTCCATCGGCGTTGAGATTGAATTGCAGTTGAACATCCCGTACTCGAGCAGCATGTCCTTCGCGTATTTTTCTTGACAAAGGAATAGTCCATCCTTCCTTCGCCCGACCTCCAATCTGAGAAAAATGCTTGAGCTCCCCAAGCTCCTTCATATGAAGCCTGACAGAGAGATTTGTCCTCGTTCTCTGAATTTTTGTTTCATCATCTCCAGTTAAGATTAAGTCATCCACATAGACCAACACGATTGCTACTCTATTGTCAGCTTGTTTGACAAATAAATTAGAATCTGCAGGAGAAAGAAAGTATCCACTTTGAATTAAGAACTCACCAATCCGTAGAGAGCTTTCTTTAGTTTGCAAATATATCTTTCCTTTTCCTTGCTCTCAAATCCGATAGGTTGTTCCATGTAAATCTCTCAATCCATCTCATCGTGTAGAAATGTGTTCTTCACGTACATTTGCCAAATCTTCCAACTCTTGCTGGCTCTAGAGCTAGAAGAACTCGAACTGTTGTTATCTTGGCAACTGGACTAAATGTCTCGTCATAATCCAGTCTATACTGTTGAGAGAATCCTCGGGACACCAAGTGTGCTTTATATATCTTAATCGACCCATCCGCTCAAGACTTGACTTTGTAAACCCATTTGTAGGAGATAGGTTTGACATATTTGAACTTTGACACCAACTCCCAAGTTTGATTCTACTGTAGAGCTTGAATATCTTCCTCCATTGCTCATCCTCATTCAGCAATTTCGTATGCTTCCTCGAAGCTAGATGGATCATTCACATCTTCCATAATGGTAGCATTAGTATACTCAGGATTCGGTTTTCTGGGTCTCGTTGATCTTCGAAGTTGTTCAACTGATTCTTCTTCAATGTCCTCTATCTGGCTCAGGTGCACTTCTTGTGTCGTCTGATAAACACCAGTTTTTTTATGGATTATTATCCTTTGAGGATGTTGAAGAGCTTGATTCTGTCTTCTCTGGTTAATGCTCCCCCAACTTCTCTTATAGCTGATCCTCCAGATCTTTAGAAACTGGTAGCGCAACTTCTTGTGAAGCCCACTAAGATGAGGCTTCGTTAAATACAACATTCCTTGATGTATAGCATCATCCGGTTGTGGGATTACAACATCTCCATCCTTTTCTTTCACTGTTATACCCTACAAAAATACACCTTACAGCCTTTTTGTCGAACTTACTGCGAAGTTGATTAGGCACATAGATGTAACATACGCAATCGAAAACTTTGAAATGGCTACGGTTGGGTTGATATTCCACAACTTCTGAAATAATGATATGAACTCTAATTTTGATAGTTGATTGATCACATGCACCACAGTCTTCATACACTAAGCTCAAAAATATCTTAGCACGTTCTTAGCATGAAGCATGCTTTTGAAAATTCCGGCGAGATGACGATTCTTTCTTTCGGCTACACCATTTTGCTGCGGAGTATTTGGGCATGCTAGCTGTCGTCGAATCTTATGCTGCTTTAGATAGTCATATAACTCATTCGATGTGTACTCTCCATCGTTGTCTATGTGTGGACAATGAATTTTCTTGCCGACTTCTCTTTTGACTTCTTCTCGGAATTGCTTGAATTTAGAAAGTGTTTCAGATTTTTCCTTTAGGAAATAAACCTAAATATATCTCGAGTAATCATCGATAAAGGTGATCATGTACCTCATGCCACTTATCAATTCCTGCTTCACTCGCCCGAATACATTTGAGTGCACGAGCTCTGAAGATTCCTTTGCTCTAAATTGTGACTCCTGGTATGGTAATTGATGCGTCTTACCATACTGACAACCTCCGCATATGATCTCTCCTCGAATCTCCAAGTGTGAAAGACCCTTCAACATTAACTTTTTTATTATAATCTTGACCTTGTGATAGATCATATGGCCAAGCCGAGCATGTCACAAATCAGTCGTCTCATTCTTTCTAGCTTTATCTATGTATGCTGATTCCGCCGACATCATATAGACAGATTCTACCTTCCATCTCTCCATGATAGGTTCTACTGGTGGCTTCAAGCTTCGATAGACTTTTATATCTTGTGGCCCAAATACTATATAGTTTTTAGAAGTTGTTAATTGGAAAACAGATAGAAGGTTCTTTTTCATACATGGTATATATCTTGTAGTTGTATCTGATTCGGGTTGTAGTGTAGCGTAAATGCAGTCTTTTCGATGTGTGTGATAAGTAATCTTGAATTATTTACTATCACAACTTCTCGGTAGCTTTTATACTCCTTCATGTTAATAAGCTTCCCCTTATCTCCCGTTATATGGTTGGAACAGCCAGAATCGACGATCTAATCTTTATTATAACTGATTTCTTCCCGATCTGAAACCGCTGCAAATGCGGACT